GAAGGAGGATCAGATGTTGAAGATCAACTTCAGGTATACAGCAAGTTCAAGGTCAGCTTAGACTAGAAATCTTGTCTCAAAAAATAGTCTCCTATTCATTTCCAAAATATTTTAGCATTTTAAATAACTATAGCCAATCCTGTAACATTAAATAGTGAAAGCTATACTGAAAAACCTATAGCACGGATTGCAGGGTGTATTTGTTTTATTGTGTCCTCTAGTTAAGAGGTAAAATGCAAACTGTCCCTTCAAAAATCTATTTCAAGCCAAACTCTGGATGTGAATATTGTAACTTTTAGATTTGCTGCATGCTTTCGTAGCCACTGTTTTTAATACATTTTGTGACTCAGCACTTTGACACATCCTACACCTAGTAGTCTGACTTTAGACAGGCTGTCTTGTTGGATCCAGGATCAACTGCAACTCATAGTTCATCACTTAGTACCCTAAATAGAAATGTCTAAAATAGGGTTTAGACTAAATAGCCACAAGTTTAAAGAACATACCACCATTCATTCAAGTTGATATATAAATACACTTTCGCGCAATGCCAGTTTTACTAGGCAATAGGCTAAGACATTTGGGAATGAAGAGATTAAGTAGAGATAAAATTAAATTTCCCACTTTCAAGGAATTTAATATATATTTGGAGTCATTAGTCAAGACTTCTAAGTAATTATAAACAAGAAGCTAATAAATAATTAGGAAATGAGTCCATAAAGCACCCACATTTGCCTCAGCTTCCATATTTTTCCACAAATGACAGACTGCCGTTCAGTGTGTCAGCATTGACCATGTGTATTACGATGTAGTTATATATCATGCAGCAACAGGAAAGCATTCTGAAAACTGTGCTGCTCGGTGATTTTGGGACTGTGTGAGCATCATAGGTTATGGGAATTTGGATTGTATAACCTACCACACAGTTAAGCTGTATGTGAGCATCAATGAATATGCAATTTATCACTAGCTAAAATAGCATCCTGTGGCATATGACTCTAGCTTGCATCTATGGTCTACAAACATACTTGATTACCACAGAAATGCCATAAAGCAAGTATAGTATATCATTCAAACAATTGCTAATTGCAAAGCAATCAAGAAAGATTCCATATATATTTTCTCTACACTCTTTATTGGCTTTATACATTGAAATTCTATTATCTGGTAAAGAATAAAAGCAACTTATCAGTGAAAAAAGCTTATGTATTATTTTTATTTATTTATTATTGTTATTATCTTTATTGCTAAAGAATTAAAACTGTTAGATGTATCTGTGAAATAACAGTTAAAAGGAACAAAATGTTAAATAAATTAGGCATAACTTTTGCAAGACAAATGATAAAGAATAATGTTAGCCAAATAATTTGAAGAACCTAATATCATATGTGAACCAAAATAACTATACATATATTATGATAATATATAATATTAATTAAGATAACATTAATATAATACAATTTATATGATGCAGAAAAGTAGATTATGCTCTAATTCTAACCTTATAAAACATTTTGTTTACTTGTACTTAGTAATGCTTTGAAATTGCATTTAAGTATTGGTTTTAATTAAAATTATTTTTAGATTTACTTATTTTATGTGCATGAGTGTTTTGCTTGCATGTATGTATGTGCACCACATGCCTGTCTACAGATGTCTGCTAGTGACTGTATAGGCACTGGGAACAGAATTGGTCACCACTCCCTAATCTCTTTTGGCTTTCCAACTATCTTTCCTTCCTTTATGTGTATTTTTGTTTTGCTCAAGTGAATTTCATCAGTGTTGTTTGCAGGAACATGTGCACCCTAAGTATGGGAACCACTTGTCCCTACATCATCTACATCTGGAAGAGCACTTATATGACTCAGTAGGTATTATTAAAAAGTGGGTATGCATTTGAAAGAGATATGTATTGGAGTAGAGGGTAGATATTACCAATGTACATTGTTCAGATGTGTAAAAAATTTCATAGAATAAATTTAAAATGTTATAGAAATAAAGTTGTAAACTAAATTAAGAACTAGTCAAACTATAATAAAATAGTAATGATCAACTATATTAACAAGGAGTTATAAGCATAGAATAATAGCTTGTACCATGGTGTATTCGTAGGGTTCTCTAGAGTCACAGAACTTATGGAATGAACTTCTATATATCTTTATCTATATTCTTCTAGATAGATAGATAGATAGATAGATAGATAGATAGATAGATAGATAGATAGATAGATAGA